GGATTCAAAACATTAATGGCTTTTCTCTTTCCAAGGAAGAAGAGGAAAAGAAAACCCAAAAAAAAAAAAGAGTTTTAACGAAAAGCCTGTGGTATTGTTCAATTTAACAAAAAACTACATTTTTACACTAAAAAGTCAAACCTGGTATTATTCACTTTACCCTTTATTTTGTCATTATCGTTAAAACTCAAAGTTTTCAAGCTCTTTTCATTAGTTTTCCTAAAAAATAATGTGTCAACTTTCCAAGGCGTAAAAACGGCTCCACCTTTTGGAATCCAATCTGATGTACGAAAGTGGGGTGAAGGGAAGGTGTCAAACCTCACATGTGGACTTTTATGAACAAGCTTTTGTTTTTTAAATGTTTATGAATTACCCAACCCACTAGGTGGTTTTTTAATATTTATTGTTTAAAAACGAAATACTAATTATTTAAAATGTCTTGAATTATATTTTATCTCTCTAAATTTAATTAATTTAACTTACTAATCATTCAAAATGTCTTAAGTTATATGGTATATATTTTTAATGTGTTTTTAAATTTTGAACTTGTTAGATACTCTTTTTGTATTTTATTATTCTTTTATTATCTTATCCATGAATTTCATACAAGTATAATTTTTTATGTGTCAATATGCACTTATTTACAAGATATACAAGAAATTTACCTAAATCCGCCTAGGCCGCCTAGGCGCTAGGTGCTAGCTCGCAGCTCGACTAGCGCATTGCGTTTTTTAGAACCTTGGAAATAGCTAATGTAAATGGCATTGTAACATTTATATGATACAACGATATATTTATATTAAATGATGAAATGAATAAATTAGTATCAAACTCGTCAATCATGAAATTTGAACTTAAGACACTTACAAATGAAAAAATACCACTAATTGTAGGATTAAGTGACATATTATAACATTTATAATTAAGAGACAATATTGTTAATGTGGGATGCTAACCGTCCGCTATGTCTCCTATACATCATACTTGGGCATTGGCTAATCAATTAGCTCCAAACATTGCACTAAATATCTCATTTTCTTTTTCCCTTCCTTTAAGTAATCAACTAGATCTTGACCAAGGGAGAAGAATGAGTGATAAAGGCTTCAACACCAAAGTACAAAAATCGATACTTGAAAAACCAAAAGATACATAAAACAACATTTAGAGGGAGGCAAAGTAAAAGAAAAGGCTCCCTCTTTCCTCTCGACCCTTGCCGAAAGAAAAAACCGTAAGCCCCTTTCTTGCCGCTAACTTCTACTTTTGGTGGGGGTCAATGGCAACTCCTCTTACTTGCCAATCCAAGCCACTCCTTCCTCTTCTTCTTTGGCTTTTGCATATCCTTGTCTTTTGGCCTTAATTTCAAGTTTTATTGAATTTTTGTCTCAATCTCACTAGCTTGTTCAGATCTAGGCTTTTATGCCCATTTTTTCCTCCAATGTTTCTCCCGTCATTAATCTTTCATCACCGACCTCTTCTACTTGAGCCGTCGCATGTCTCTTCTTGGTGGCACACTTTGGTGTTGAGTAATTGTTAAAGTGCTTTTAGCACTATTTGGTAGGATTATGGCAGCGTTTTGTGCGCATGTGACTCGCTCACCCCCTTTTTTTCTATTCATGGTGAGTTTTTCCTTTTGGTGGTGATGGTGGATCAGCGGTGGTAGTGCAATTGGTGTGGTGGAGTTTGCTATCTTCTAGATCTAGTGTTTGTGTTGTTGTGGGCTTGATCTTTTTGAGTTTTCCTGTTGTATTTACTTTTGGACTAGCTTGTCTTTGGATTGTCTTTATACTTCAGATTTTATATACTAGTTTTTTTAATTAATGAAAGTTATCTAGTTTGACCAAAAAAAGAGGGAGGCAAAGTATATCTCAAGGAAAAATTTAGATAAATGATAAAAGTGTGCATATTTTTTCTCCTCCTACGAATTTATGTTTAATCATGCGTTGTTTTTGTTTGATTATTAATTTCGATGATCAGGAATAAAGAGAAAGATATAAGAGAATAAAACTAGTGTGTGAAAATCAATTCCCAAAGTTTAATATTTAAAAACGTTTTTTATGCTATCATGCCAAAAGAATGAAACAAACCCATTATTGTGGCGTAGCAAGTAGTCTTGCAATGAAGTTGGTAAAAGAAGCTTATGGTAATGGATGACTGGCTCCAACATATCTCTTGATGTGTGGCATCACTAAAAAAGAAGTGGCACTACCAACTCTTTCAAGCTAAAGAGCAATATAAGCTAGCTAGCTAAAGCTAGGCTAGGCATAAATGGATTCAAACCCCTATCATAAGTCATTTCACTTTCCGATCTTATCAATTTCTCACATGAAATTCATGGGTGGCACTATCTAGACATACTTTTTACCTTCAATTCGACGGCTAAAAGTAAAATAAAAGTTGTAAAAAAAAGTAAGGGTAAATTACATAAAATTACCTCAAATATTGGGTCAGTTACGGTTTCATATCATTTAAAAAAAAATTCAATGTCATACCTTATATTCGAATTTGTTGCAATGTCATACCTTACGTCAGTTGTCTGCCAATTACTCTGTTAAATGCTGATGTGGCTTGAGGCGGGATCCATTTTTTATTAAAAAATTAAAAAAAATTACCCTTAAAAAGTAATGGAAGGTATGACATTGCAACTAATGGAAGGTATAACATTGCAACAAATTTGAAGATAATGTATGACATTGAATATTAAAATAAAAGGTATGAAACTGTGACTGACCCAATAGTTGAGGTAGTTTTATAATATGTGGATAGCACTACCGTTATTCATAAAAAAGATGTGTGGATAGCATTACCGTTATTCATAAAAAAAAAAAAAAAAAAAAAAAAAAAAAAAAGGAGGTTGGAGCCAATGTCTACATGAAATCACTGAACCTCACCTTAAAGCCGGGCCGATAAAAGACTTAGGCCCCAGCTAACTTAAGCCCTTCCAAATTGAAACTATTTTAATTGAAAAAAAAATTATAAAACAAATTAAAAATAATTTGTAGAAACTGGCTGGATTTCTTTTAGACACACATGGTGACATTTTTCTTTAACAATTGGAAATAGTGACAATGAATAAACCAATACATCTGAGGATTTTTGCATAAGCTTCAAGTGTGTTTATCCCTATCATGACATTTCTGTGATTAAGATTTGTATCCCTATATGGAGGTTTTGATTTTATTTTATTTATTTTTGAATCTTTTAGGGTTAAATTATTCTAGTTTACGAGGAAGGTTATTCGGGGTGATACACTTTCTTAATAAATTGGACTAATTTACAACTCTCGATTTTAATTTTATGAGAAACAAAAATATTACCTAACTGTATTGTAACATGAGTATATATCTTTGATTGACAACGAGAAATATGTCCGAAAAAAACATTGAATATATTTTTTCTTGAAGTATATCCTTCTTATTTTATTTCTAAATATATATTTTAAATTTTCTTCTTTTTAGGTCAAAACTGAATAGAATGTCATACTATAAACGTGTCTATTTGTCTAACTATCTTATATTCAACTCCAAAACCATTTTTTTAACCCCCCACTAGGTATTAAAAATGTATTTTTTTACCACACAACTATGAAACAAGTGTCAAATATCATTCTTGTTAAATTTTGCTCTAAGTTCATAAAAGGAAAAAGTGAGAGTGATACTGATATATTAGCTCATATAAAAAACAAACTTTTATACTAGTTCGAAAAATTTAAGTGTGCTATTAATATATTAAACTCATGAGTCTGATACTTAATATTATATTGGGTTCTAAAGTATGACTCTCAGTCTCTGACAATTATTAAACTTACACTAGTATACTAAGATCATCTCTAACCTTTTGGTTTAACTTAAACTTTAGGTTTTAAACTAACCCAATCTTTCTCTAATGGTTGGACCTAGAATAAGTTTTGGGTTAAAACAAAAAGTTTGGGCACTTTTGACCCAAAATTTAGGCCATCGTTAAAAGGATGTTCCACCAAAATTTAGGTTTTAAATTAACCCAAATCATTCTCCAATGGTTTGGTCTAAACTAAGTTTTGGGTTAAAATCTAAACTTTTGGTAATTTTAAATTATTAAATACATTAAATCCAATGACTAAGATGAATATGATCAAATTTAAAGATAAAAAAAAAAGAGCTAATGACCCAAAATTAAATCTAACGGCTAGAACAATTGAACAAAAATTTTAAGTCAAAATTCATAAAAAAACTCTATAAATACATGTTTTATGATCTAAATATTTTAGGTCAAAATGCCTAAAAATAAATTATGATAATCTACATAAATTTTATTTTAAAAAAAGTTACTAAAAAAAAATTTAGCCTAAATTTATTTTAAAAAAATCTCGGCATAAAATTTTAATTCAAAATCATCGGAGCAAAAAAACAAAAAATTGTGGTTTAAAACTTAAATTTTTTGGATTAAAATTGTTAAAGTTTTAACCCGAAGGTTGAAGATGATCTAAATAATATTGTAGATATTAAATTCAAGCTATGTGATTTCATAATGAGTAATGTTAGGGAGACCAAATTTTTAAAATCAAATTTACAAACTAAATGATATGACTGCTGATGATTGAATTATTACATAAATATTAATTAATAAACTTATTTTTTAATTTACAAATACAATTTAAAATTTTAATCTCCCTAATCTTATTTGAAGATATAAATATCAGTATCACACACATTCAAATTATTGTCAACCACCAACCAAAATTTCCAAAAAACAAAAATCAAAAGCAAAGAAAAGGAGGCGAGAAAAGAAAAGCAAAAGCAGAGAGAGAGAGAGAGAAGGAAAGGAAAGGGAAACGACAAAGGAATCGAAAGTCGGCGCCTCATGTCTCGTTAGCTTAGCCGACCAATCATCACGTCCTTTTCCCCTCCCCCCACCAGAGCCACCCCTCCTCCCCTCCCCTCCCCTCGCACTCCCTCCCCTCCCCTCCCCTCCCCCCTTCCCCTCTCTCTCTCTCTCTCTCTCTCTCACTCCTCTAACACTCTCTGTTCTTATAAAACCCTAAATCCCTCTCTTCCCTCTCGTTTTCTTCTTCTTCTTCTTCTTCTTCTCCTTTTTTGCGTTTTATTTTTTTTAACTAATTTAATTCCTCTGTATCTTTCTCTCTGCGGTTTCTTCCGTATATATTTTTTCCCAATCGGAAGTCGCCCCAATTCTATTCAGATCTTCCCCAAAAGATCTTATCTTTTTTGGGTTTTAATTTCTGGGTTTATTTGGAATTTGGGTTTTTTTTTGTTCTTTAAATTATGAAAGACTCGGTTGTTCAAGCGGTGGTTAAAAGGGTTGAAGACGGCGATAAGGAGAAGAAGAAGAAGCGCCGACCCAATCGCCGATCCAGACAAAATAATTCCACTTCAGGTACTTTGATCAATTTCCCATTTTTCTCACTGAGCAAAGATTAAAATTTTATTTTAATCACTGGGTTTTGATGGTGCAATCTGGTTTTTTTGAATTAGTTAAAATAGAAAGGTGATTTCTGTGTGTTTTTGGTATTTTTCTTCTTGTGTTTTTGTGTTGTTTCTGTTTATCCCTTATGTCACTAGCCTATTGGTGCTGTTTGGCTGCTGGGTAATCTAAGTCCTGGTCAAGGAGTGGGATTATCCTGCAAATGCTAAGGTAATCACTGCCTGATTGGATAAATTTGGAGTTTGAGGTAATCACTGCCTGATTGGATAAATTTGGAGTTTGATGGAGATATCTACTGCTCTCTCGAATAATAAGTGCAAATTAATCAGATAATATTATATATATATATATATATATATATATACATATATATATTTTAGGAAAAGCTTAGCGGGTTATATTCATTCTTAGCAGTGAATATCTTTCTGAATTTTGTTTCTTAAGCTTATGTAAAGCATTATTTTGATTTGATTTGTTCTTTTTCTATTCTATATCTTCGTTGTGTTCTTTGGTTCTGAATTTTATTTTTGTCTGTTTAATTGCGGCAGCTAGTCCGAGAACTGAAGTATCCGAGTGCCTGGCAAATGGAAGAATTTCTAATCATGTAACCACATCCTTGAAGCAACCTCAGTTAGACATGCATCCTCCATATGAGCACGGAATGATAAAAGCATCTAATTTGGCCTTCAATTCATTGCCAACGATGCACATCAATGAACAAGTCAATCACGAGGATGTGCAAATTTTGGTAAATCAACATTCTCTCCCATGTGATCCTGCTGGAAGATTTATTTCAAATTCTTGCCCTGAACCTGTGGCTTGTGGAGGATCGCCTGGAATGTTCAAGGATTTCCCTCCTCATCATGCTGAGAGTTGTGCTCGAAGAAAATGTTTTACTTCACACTGGCCCATGGAGGCTGTTAATGACGCTCTAGAGGTATATTTATTTGGTCGTAATTTGTGTTTACTCATTTTTCCATGGAATCTGTTTACTTATTAATCATTATATATGAACCTGTTTGAAGTTGTATGGTTGCCGAAGAAAATGATCACTGTGACTCATTTATTATGTTATTTTTTCAGAAAGGTGATGCTTTTAAAGCTTTGTTTCGAGTCAATGCACACAACCGATTGGAGGTTTGTGATCTTATTCTCTGTTTATATTTGGATATGTTCTGTGGGGTTAGTATTTCCCAATGCTTCACTGTCATAACTTTCTTATGTAGTATGCATACTGTGTTCTATGCTTGTAGGCCTATTGCAAAATTGATGGTGTACCAACAGACATTCTCATTGATGGACTTGCTGAGCAGAATAGAGCTGTAAGTCTGGAATTATTTTCTTTTACATTCTGCATCTTCACTTGGAAACCTTTTGGCTTGTTTGCCTTTTCGTCTACTATACTTTAAAGGAGTTGATAGCCTCATTATTTTACTGGATCACATAGCCTTCATGATTTCTATGTATTTATTTTATGGTGACATTCTTTTTTGTTGGGAATACAGTTCAATGAGCTCACAATTGATTGGCATTGACTTTTTTATATTTAGATGGAAGGAGACATTGTGGCGATTAAGGTTGATCCTTTGGCGTTATGGATGAGGATGAAAGGATCAGCTGGGACTTGTACCAGTTCTGCACTGGTGGAGGATTTTAACTTACCACAACAAGCTAATGAAATTTCTGGTCTCAACTGCAAAGGTAAGGCTAAGGTAGACGAGGTGGATTTGTATGCTAATGGTAGAAGAAGCCTGCTTCCTGAGAGGAGGTCATGTCCTCAGGAAAGTACTTATCCTGGTGAATCTATTACTTCAAAGCCAATTGGACAAACAAGTTATGATCATGTTGCTGGGAGGTACCCCTCGGCTTCAGATTTTTTACAAGAAGGTTCTCATGGTGAGCAGAATGAAGTTGCAGTTGCAATAGAGAGGATATGTGCCATGATCAGTTCATTCCCTTCAAAACGACCAACTGGCAGGGTCGTTGCTATCATTGAAAGGTCTCCACGTCGAGACTCTGTTGTTGGTTTCCTTCATGTTAAGAAGTGGATTGCTTACAGGGAAGTTTGCAGAAACGATATGGGAAAGAACAAAAATGCATCATTTTCTAGTGATGAGTACATTCAGATGATCCCAACTGACCCAAGATTTCCGAAAATGGTGGTCCTTGTGAGAACCCTGCCTGATTCAATCAAGAAGAGATTGGAGAATGGTGATGAGTCAATTGAAATGGAGTTGTTTGCTGCCCGAATAGATGAATGGGATGAGGAAAGTTCTGCTCCCCAAGCTGTCATCTTGAATGCTTTTGGCCGGGCAAGCGAAGTACAGCCACAAATTGAAGCAATTTTATTCCAAAATTCAATTAATTCATCAGATTTTTCTCATGAATCACTTTCCTGTCTTCCTCATCTCACGTGGGAGGTGCCTCAGGAGGAAATCAAAAGTAGAAAGGATCTTCGAAACCTGTGCATATTAACCATTGACCCTTCAACTGCTACTGATCTGGATGATGCACTCTCAGTTGAGAAATTATCCAACGGAATTTTCAGAGTTGGTATCCACATTGCTGATGTGTCGTATTTTGTTTTGCCCGATACACCGTTAGACGAAGAAGCTCAATCTAGATCAACAAGTGTGTATATGTCACAGCGGAAATTACCAATGTTGCCTCCTTTGCTCTCAGAGAATATTGGTTCGCTTAACCCAGGAGTAGAGAGACTAGCATTTTCAATTTTCTTGGACATCAACTATGTTGGGGATGTTGTTGACCGATGGATTGGCCGCACTGTGATAAGATCGTGTTGCAAACTTTCTTATGAACATGCTCAGGAGATTATCAATGGGAAACTTAATTTGGAAAGTTCTAACATTTTAGGAAAGGGTTTTCCTCAGTTGCATGGCCATTTTGAATGGTCTGATGTAATTAGATCTGTTAAAGATCTTCTTGAAATTTCCAGAGTTTTGAAGGAGAGGAGGTTTAGTGATGGGGCTCTTCAGCTTGAGAGCTCTAAAATCGTTATTCTGTTTGACGAATATGGAGTTCCATATGATAGCATGTATTCTGAAAGGAAGGACTCAAATTTTCTTGTCGAGGAGTTTATGCTTTTGGCAAATACAACAGCAGCTGAAGTCATATCTAGAGCTTTTCCTGAGAGTGCATTATTGCGGAGGCACCCAGAACCTAATATGCGCAAACTCAGGGAATTTGAAGCATTTTGTTCTAAGCATGGTTTGGAATTGGATACGTCGTCTTCTGGGCTGTTCCAGCAATCATTGCTGAGAATCAGGGAAGAGCTCAAGGATGATTCTGTTCTATTCAATATTCTTATGAGTTATGCTACAAAACCAATGCAGTTGGCTTCTTATTTTTGCAGCGGCGAATTAAAAGACAGAGAAAATGATTGGGGTCACTATGGACTTGCTGTTCCTTTGTACACTCATTTTACGTCTCCACTGCGTCGGTATCCAGATATTGTGGTGCATCGCACGCTGGCTGCAGCCGTAGAGGCAGAGGAGTTATTTTTGAAACATCGGAGAATGTTGAATAATTTTAGTAGGGGGGATGAAGTTAAAATGAGATGTTTTACTGGTATTTATTTTGATAAGAATGTTGCTGAATCCTGTGAAATCAAGGAAGCACTATCGGCTGCAGCAATAAAGCATAGAGTTCCCTGCTCTGAAATGCTTGCTGATGTTGCTGCTTATTGCAATGCAAGAAAGCTGGCTAGTAGACATGTCAAGGATGCTTGTGATAAGCTCTACATGTGGGCCCTGCTGAAGAAAAAGGAGGTACGGTTGTTTTCTACTTATACTTTCTGAGTTATATTTAAATGTTAAATCTCTGTTTTCATTGTTACTCTTTAGCTGGAGGGCAGCGTGCTAAGAAATTTTGCCCCTCATTTCCATCATCTGTAACCTGATATAGAATGACATTTCTGTAGTTTTATGTGCCATTACAAGTAATGACTCCCATAATAGACCAACTGTGCTGTCTCGTATTGACCATAGCATTATCTGACTTCATATAATGGTGTTGCCAGACCCATTGTGTCCTCTTTTTATGCGACCCTTCTCTTGATTCTTGTCTAGCTGAGCTAGGTGGTTTGAATACAAGCAGTCCCATTGTTCTTTGGTGCTGCCTTCATTTTGCATTTACGCTTTAGGTGTTTTAGTTGTGTCTTCTGTACTTAATGTCTGGCTGTCATTGATCGGTTGCAGATTGTATTATCAGAAGCAAGAGTATTGGGTGTGGGGCCTAGATTCATGTCCATTTATATTCACAAGCTTGCTGTAAGTAGCTGTTTTCAGTTGTGTAATTTTTATGCGACCATAGCATGGGAATCCATGTGCAATTTACTGTTACTAAATGTCTTCAGGTTGAACGTCGAATATATTATGATGAAGTTGAAGGCTTGATGGTAGAATGGCTTGATGCTACATCCACATTGGTGCTGAATTTATGTTCTAACAGACGCTCGCACAGGAGAGGTAGTCCTGGTAAGTGGAGGGCGCTTGAAGATGTTGCCTTGGTTGTAAGACCTTATGACCTCAAAGCTGAACTAGGTGGAACTGGTAATAGTTCTAAAGAGGGTGCCGTGGTCCAAGATGTTGGCGTAGCCACCCATAGCGAAATTGATGCAGTCGTTTTCCCCCTTACACTGCGTGTTCTTTCAACATTTCCTGTAGTGCTTCATGCAATCGGGGGGGATTATGGACCCGTTGATATTGGGGCAAGGCTGTACGTGAGCTCATATCTCTGATAGATTGGGTTTTGAACTGGTTAACCTAGTTGCCGATGGTTGGAACTTACGGAGATGAATGGATAACGGAGCTTTGGAATTGGTTGACCTACTTATTACAGATGAATGATAACAAGGCTCTTCTTGGAAATGGGCAGGTTCTGTTGTAGATAGGACGTTAGTGTATAGTCCGGATAGAGTTTAAGAAAAGTAATAATTTTCGGTTAGATCTCCGCTGATGCTCTATGGGTTATCTCATGCCGAAGCGTTTTGTGGGAGGGTGTTGATAATGGTAGAAGGGGTGGTGCGTCTTAGTCTGTGTCGTTGGCTTATAGCCGCTGTTTTTGATAGAGCTGCTTGCTGGAATAGGCCTCTGTTTTTGCCGGCCAGTCTCATCCAGTGTAACTCGGTGAATGTGTCCCGCCGACGTCTGGCGTTTCGACACCGAGTTTCATAAGCCAAATTTGTGGGTTTAATTTTCTCTGTTTGTAGGTATTTCCTGGATTGCTGCCCAATAAGGTTTTTGGCTTTGGGTGGCCAGGATTAGGGGTAATGACCTGGGTTTGTTCTAGTGACATAAATGTGCGTGACTGGCAGTCTCCAGTTGATTCATATGAAAGCACAACACTTGTGTGATTTACATTTTCTTTAAATAATATGATTCTTCACATTAAGTTGATGTAGACCAAAGGAGCAATGAGAGCCAATCTTCTACATGGACTCTCTGTAGCTTTTATCATTAATGGACATGTGTTAAGTTTACGACAGTAGAGCTAAGGACATCAAAGTTTATGGACGAGTCAATCAATGATAGAAGTCATCGGGAGACCACACAACCTGAGTGCAAAAGATTTGAACTCGCAAGCAAACATTACTAGGGTTTGTTACTAAAACAAAAAGTGGTTTTCATGCACTAATTTTAGCTGCTCAACATATTTTTATTTTGGGAATTGTTATTGGCACTCTAAATTTTTCATTCTACACTCAAAGCCTTTTATATTTAGAAAGAAAAATATACTTATGAGGAGTAGAATGAGATTTTTTGAGTATCAATAACACTTTTCTTTATTTTTGGTCGTCATATTAAATAAATCAAATTGAAATAACGGAATATAATTAAATGTGGGTGCATGAGAAGTTAAAAATGGTTTTTATTTATCATTTTCCTTAAAAATTATTTCGTACATCTTAGATATTTAGTTGGTCAAACGACAAAATTTGAGGCTGATAACAAAATGACAAAATTGCACATGATTATAGGTTGTACAAGCGTTCTCTAGATAAGCACACGTTAAGTACTTCTTAATAATTTACTTTTAAGTGCTATTTTAGAAAACATTTTTATTTATATCAAGTACTTCTTAATAATTTACTTTTAGGTGCTATTTTAGAAAGTATTTTGATTTATATAAGAAGTTTCAATGTTTATACAATAAAAGTACTTCTAGTAGAAACACTTACGAGAATAAACAATTCCAAATTAGTCATAAGGCCATTTCCAATCGAAGGGTCTAAAGGGTCAGAAGGCCGAAAATAATTTGAAAATCGTCTCAAACCGAGGACTAGACCAGAGGGCTCGTGGGCCCCACGAAATCTTAAAGGGCCAAAGGGTTGGCCACTAACAGCCAACCAGCTAGCCCGAGCTGGCCAGAAATTCATAGCAATCATGTCGATTATAACCGACAGGAGAATATTTAATATAAATACATTCTTGTCGGTTATAACCGACAGGATTGCTTAAAGAAAAATTTGAATCCAACGGCTAGCTGACGTCAGCTAGCCGTTATTTTTGAATATTTTTTTACAGTTTTATTTATTTATTTTTATTTACAAAAATTTTCCTATAACTTCTTTTTTTTTTTCTATAACTTCCTATAACTTTTGTTTTACAAAATTTATTTCATATTTTTTTAAAATTCTATTTTTTTTCCTATAACTTCTATTTCACAAAATGTGTTTACTATTTTTTTTTAAATTTCATTTTATACAACATTAAATTAAATTAAGTAACATGAAACAATAAATTAAGTGGTATTTATTAAATAATAAATTATGTTTTGCCCTCGGTTGGAGATTGTTTTTTGTGATAGGGCTAAAACGAGCCCTATTGCCCTTTGGCTCTCGGTTGGAGATGAAGACAAACATGATCCTGTACTGTTCATTAAAATATTAATATATTGGAGAACCAAATAATTAAAACGAGTCATTTGGCCAGCCATCGGTTGAAGATAGCCTAAGAGCTTCAATATGCACTCAAACTCTTGAGTTCAATTTCCTGGATCCGTAATGCCGCTTGTATGCAAAATAGTCCATCCATTTCCTTTTGTAACAGTGTGGTTCAATCTAGAACCTTTCATTTTCCTACCAATTCTTATTTAAAAGTTATAGAATTAGTTTTTGCAATAAAAATTATCATTTTTGTCTAATAAAATAATTTTCTTATTTTATAGTATTGAATGATACAAAAAATTTACAATTAAACTTTTTATTTAAATATCTATAAATTTGATAATTTTACATAAAATTCGTACTACTAACTCAGCACTTGTAAATAAAGTGTTTTTTTTTCGAACGATATAAAGTGCTTTTTTTTTTTTTTTGGTAACTATATAATGTGCTTTTTTAGTATACTTAAGTTGGCCGATTGCGCGGCGAAAAGAGAGAAGAAGATGGCGTCAGCAATCGGATGGTACGGACCGCTCATCGACTTGTCCAAGGCGGCGCTTCACGTTGGCGATTACGTTCAGCTCGTCGTCTACGTCCACCGAACGACTCCTCTTCAGGTGTCGTACTTCCGCTATTTTCTTTCTTTTTTTTTTTCGTTATTTATTTTTAAAAATTAAAATTTTTGTTTTTCCAAAAGTATAAATTAGCGAAAGGCGGAGAGGTGATCCGAACCGACATCCAAGTCGGCGATGAGACGAGGCCCTTCTTCTCCGTATCCATTTGGCAGAAGCCAATCGGATCCATGGCCGTAGCCGGCGACGTCGTTTTGTTACAAAGTGAGCGAAGCTCCAACACTTACTAATTATTATTATTAGTGATTAATAATCCAGTTTAATTTTGTTAATCAGTTTGTTTGTTTTTTTTTCTTTTTTTTTTAATTTTATGGTTAATTTGATTCAACAGATGTGAAGATAACGAAATATGGTGATGTTGTTGAGGCCAGAACCCACCAGTATTCATCCCTAAAATGTCTACTCCACCCCTACGAATCCATCCTTACAAAGGGTATGATAGTAATTTTGTAGCAAGCGTTACGTTTAGAAACAGTTGTCACACTATCAATCGGGATCTTACATTCAATCAAAGAATGATTTTGATTGATAGTATGACCACATAACATATCAGACACTACGATAAAAGATAATACGTGGTCGTAAATTTTGGAGACTACATTCAAAGACTGCTTTTACATTCAGGGGTCAATGACTTGATAGAGGAGTGTAGAGATGGGGTAGCAACAAAGGAAAAGCTTAAAAGGGTAGTGGAATGGGTGAAGAAGAGGAACACTCAAGAGCTCCATGGATGTCAACTGCAGGAGGGAAAACTCTTGCGAAACTGGAAGCCTCCGGAGGAGAGGAAACAACCCGAGGACTGCTTCTCGCTTTTGCAGTTATCGAGTCTAACCACTTCTTGCAAGGCGCTCTTTTACGCGTCTGTTGCTGAAATTTTTCTGCCCTTCAACTCAACATCTCATGTTCAATGCGAGTCCTTGGATAAGGAGGACATGTTTGTTAGTAGGAGACTGTATAAAGCAGGTGATGGTGGTTTGGCGAGAGATCTCATTTGCACAGGCTGCCAGCTTTGTGGTTCTCCTCTGGAGCTCGACAGGTATGAATCGAGATCGGATTACCATACGCTTTGTTTCCATTGCAAGATAGAGATGATTATGGGTTGATGGCGAATGTTTTGGTGCCCTTTGTTGCAGCGAGAACATGTTTAAGCAGAATGCAGTAGCACTTTACTGTTCAGAAAGCTCGAACCACCTTCATGTCATAGGCTCCATATACAAGCCCTTCATGGTAGGGATTTGTTTTCCCACTGATCAACTTTCATGTTGTTCGAATTCAGTTTACGCCAACTATTCCCCATGATTTGTTCCAATCTGATTGCTTTCTGAGTTCTTGTTTGTTAAATACATGTTAAACACGGGTGTTCTCTTTACTGCAGCTATATGTGTGGGATGAATCGGATTATGCGCCACTCCTGGTCAGAAACAAGGCCGCAGAGCTCTTGTTCGGGAACATCAAGGCTGAAAGAGTCTGTTCGTGGTGGGAAAAGCAAACCGGACAAGATGATTCAAAAGATGTCCCAACACATTCTAGTCTAAATGCAGAAGCGGCCGGGCAACCTAAAGCGGCTGAGGGAGGTGTTCTGGTTTCTTGTTCAGCAGATGGAGACAAGAGGAGCTCGGAATCGAAGGGAACACATTGTTTTCCGGAAACTATGCACTTTTACAGTATTTGGTTGATTCTTCTGAAAACAATGCTGGAGAAAGGAAAGAACAGCCCTTTGAAATTTGAAGTCGATGTAAATGCCGGTTTAGACAAGGAAAATGGGAGGTTTGAAATGGTTTCTGTACAGTTGCCATGCTTCGAAACCAAATAATCTTCACTCTTATTGTTTCTCCAGAAGAATTAAGAGTTTCTTTTCATAATTATACATCGTATAAATCACAACATTTGCTGCTAAACACCTTTAAAGTGATTTTTCATTCAGGTATTTCCCAAGATAAGATAAAAACAGAGCAATTAGAATTCTCTGCTTCGAATGATTAACTCATGGAATCGCCGCCATGCGATGGAGATTAGACATGACGTCATATCATTGACAACTTTCGCGTGATTATTAACTCATGAAAAAGGGAAACAAACAGTAAAGCAACTTGATGAGAAAACCGACAGCAGCGAAAGACGAGTGTACCGGCCATATGCTTACGAGTTAAAACTATGACTCTGCCCCAGTCTCAGCAAAAGAAGCATCAGTTGCACTAGTTTGCGCTTCTAATAGCTTCGCTTGGCGTTCTGCATGTTCTCTTTCACATTGAGTGATCCCCATAATAATATCGAGCATAGTACCTGTTGTGCCGAAGAACACAAGCGGAGCCAGAGATTTCCTTTTTATCCCCACCGGAATTGCTAGTAGAGCCCCTGCCACTGAGAATACCCAAGTGCCCATTGCACTGCAGATAATGAGGTACACGGTATTACTCAACTGTCCCTTAAGGTAGCAAATAAAACAGGGTAGAGCTAAAGCGGGAAAGACAGTATCTACGATGACAAAGAGAAATACGCCTATATTATGATTTTGACATTGTATAATGAAGCTGATCGATGAATTGCTGGTTCAGCCAGATGACATCCAGAATGTAATAATAAACGTATCTTGATATCTTGGTTATGAATGTTCATTTTTATCAGGGAGGGGTAATAAAGGAAAGAAAATCACCTTTCTCTTTCAAGAAACAGCATCAGCATGGATCAATAAAACAAGCAATACAATGAAAAAGAAAGCAAATCTCTGCAGATTGCAAACCATAAAAAAGTAGAACGGAAGAAAGCAGCATGGGTCATTGTGAAACATGTTCCGAACACCTGTACAAATCTCAGTAGATAGGTCTAAATCCTCGATGCTAGAAAGAAGTTGTTAATGTCAATTGTAGAAGAGTATAAATATCCTGGTTTATAACAAAACCAAGCAGTTTAAAAGAAAATTGGTGATCTCCTTGCTCTGCGGAGATTTGTTAACCTAATTTGCAATAACAAATTGTTTGATGTTCTTTTTGACAGGTGAACACCGATAGGTATGAGATTAACCAAAACTCTGGTGATGTAACAAACAAAACCGTCACACCGGTTGATGCTACCATAAACTGATAAACATAAGTATTCACAATACTGTCAAAGATAAGCTTTCGATATATTAATCATGAATTGTGTCATGATCCAGTATTTGAAGTAAATTTCACTAGAAAACAAGTGGCACCCTCAAGAGCTGAAGAAATGGTTTTCTTTTTGGGTCTGCTGCAGCCGAAGAAATGGCAGAATGTTCGTAAACAAAGTTTAAAAAACCAATAAACCATGATCAAACAGGTAGAATGCATTTAAATCTTAGCTCATTTCACCATATCCATAAGCTTCGAATGAACTCCTAATTTCCTGATGTCTTATTATGAATATTCGAAAACAATCTGCAGTCAGTGTTGTACTAAATGGGCCAAAAAACTGAAACTTCAAAGACAATTGAACACGAAATTATCCCCTAACATTACTTCTGCAACATCAGTAGCGATCCGCAAACATAAAAAAAGTATAGATTCAAGCACAAAGCAGAAACAAGAATGTTAAATAAAATCAAAGGAAGGAAGAAAGATTAAACTGACTTGGCCACTGAGCAATCCTCAAGCTGCTTCACAGTCTCTTGGCTTCCCATTCCTCTCTGGTTTCAGCTGCAAGCAATCCACTTCAATCCCGTTTCACTCTTCTGTCATTTCGACAAAGCGACGTTTTAAACTATCTAATCTTTATGGACACGGAAATTCAAACTTAAATACAATGGCGGGCACACTGCCTTGACCAACCGGCCTAACCCACATCCGCTCGCACTTTAGTCAGTTCAAAAACTAAACTTTGTCTTCCCCATTTTACTAAATTTTAGAGTTTATGAAAGAAATGAAGCTTAATGCTGGATATTGTTAATCACCAAAACCCTAGAGAAACTGTAAAACCCCAAATCAAAATCAAAACCCTAAACCCTGAACAAAAAGCAATTCAATTTTGAAAATTCCAAAAATACCCATTGAAATGCAAGCAAATGGAGCTCACCTGATCAGACACGGAGCCGGGAAGACGAAGAAGCTTTCGTCAAAATCCTCAAAGAGTGAAACTACGATTTTATGCCCCTGAACCCGATTCGGGTCCTTGGTTTCATGGGCCGGATCGTTCCGGGTCGGGTTTATTCTCAAACTCAAAAAGCCCAAAAAGACCGGCCCGCCTGATATAAAGGAGTTTCAGTCTCTTAAGCTTAACAGGGGAAGAGGGGAGGGATGATGAGAGGTGTAGGAGGTCCTCTTCTATGCATTGGCGATCTGCTGAGCGACGTGGGGGGGGGGGGGGGGGGGGAGAGGCAGTTGCTTCGCCACCACCGCAACAACATGAGCCCTCGCCGTCGTCTTCGTCTGTTTCCAGCTCCGCTCAGAGCTTGGACCTCATCAAGTTGTATCAGGTTTACAGTCTCATTTGCTTTTTTTATTCGCTTTTTGTGAATTGCAAAATCAGGTTGGTGGTAAGGTGGATTTTTCAGATATTGGATTCTTTTTTATAGGAAGATGGATCATGAAAGTGTAGAACTTACATGTGAAATTTATTGCTCGTTTGGGATTGTTTTGAAAAAAATCATAGTACTTTTATTAGAAACACGTGTGAGAATTCATAAACGTATTTCCTAGAATTGTTTTTATTAGAAATATGTTGAAGTTTTTATTAAAAAAACGAAGTGTTTTCATTAGGAACACACATCTGAGAATTCATAAATGCGCTTGCTAGAAGTGCTTTTACTAGAAACACGGTCAAAAATTTTGTTAATAAAAGTGCTTTTAATAAAAGTGCTTTTACGACCCACAAGCAATTTTAGGTCTTTCTTCCAAACTTAGTCCCAAACAGGCCTTTTGACTTTTGAGATCATGGGCTAACTTCGTACATTTTGCTAAACTTTTGCCGCTCTGAAAGAGCTGAGTTTTCTGCGTCTTGAAAAGTAGTTTTGCATTTCTATTATTGTTGTTTTTGAGTGTTCCTTACTCCATATTCTATCTTTCTTCTAGGAGAACTATGAGCAGTTGAATGAGGCGCTTGGCGGTACCGACCACTCATGGGCAGCTCTTACTTTGAAGGTGATGGATGATCTTTATAAGAATGTTTGAATGACATATCTATAGATTCTGCGATACTTTGACAGAGAAAGGAATCCGGAACGGAATGATTTTGAATATTGATTTATTAGTAAAAAGCCGTCTCCTACATTTGAATTGCTGAAATAAGAACTTTATGTGAGAGTCGAAGCCCCAAAGGGAGAATTGGGAATTTTTTCTCATAGGGGATCAGAGTGGTTTTCCTTGGAGATGCAAAATCCGCCTGCCGGGTTTTATCAATTTGCAAATTCTTCCAAGGTTAGTTAAAATAATGAAATTGGCTGATATTATGACGATACTAGGTAGTATAGATATCATTATGGGAGAAGTTGATCATTGAAATGATAATTGATACACCGGAAGTACAAGATATTAATTCTTTTTCTTGATTAGAAGTTTTTAAAAGAGGTTTATGGAACTCTTTGGGTTCTTGTTCCTATTTTGACTCTCATAGTGGGAATCAACTCTTGTCCATGTTTTGAAGAATGGATTCTTGAATCCCATTGAATCTAAGATACAATATTTGGTTTACGGTATGAGGGAAAGGCATGTATATGTGATATTAGACATTAACTAGGTATATATGAACGAAAGATATATCTAATTTGTCCTAATTTAGATAGGGATTCCAATGGAAGTCCTTCCGTTTTAGGATGATTAGTGTTCCACTTCTTACCACGCTATTAATTGTTCTCCATAATTTGTGCAGTGTCTAGTATGCTTTGTAACATTTAGAAACTTTTTCTTGCATGGTATACATTTTATTATATGGGTTCGGATGTGGGGGGATGTACATTCACATGATTTTAGAAGTTTGAACTTTGGAATTCTTCCAAGGTAACTTATAAAGAAGATGGGGGGATATGCAGCTTTGTGCGTAGACGTTGAGGCATTGGTTTCTCCTATATCCTAATCTGTTTCCAAAAGGTTGTTCACTTGAGCAAACGCATTAGTAAACACTAGTTGGACTTTACCTGCGTAATTCTTTTGTTTTACGTTTCCATGAATACTCATTTGTCTTGTAGATTATCCTTTGTTTATTTAGGGTAGTAGTATTTTTCTGCGACTCATAGTATGGTGTAAAGATTCTGAACTGTTTATCTTTTATTTATTCCAGTTATGCAGTGCTCTGCAAACCGCAAACAAGTTAGTTCAATCAACAAACTCTAATGTCATGTTGTTGTCGGAGAAGGTTGGAGAGCTTGCGGGAGTTGTCAAGAGGGCAGATTCTGCCATGGCTGCAGCAAGGGTCGTCCATGGTTCACTAAACAGAAAGGAAGTACCACTTGATAGCAATCAAAACGCCAAATGATCTATGTCTTGTCGAGAACAAGGTTAGTAAATTCAATCACGGGAAAAAGTCTGAAAAATATGGAGTCTTAGAAACTGCAGTGTTTGCTTTAGTGTTAGAATATTGTCTTTTCCTGTACTTTTCTTGATAGTGTAAAAGATATAATATCAAGATGCAAACTCTAATTCTGAGTAGCGACACTAAATGCCATGTCAAGAATTGTATGCGTGATTAAAATAATAAACCTTTGGATTTTTTGCTTCATTTTCACAACAAAAGGAACTTATAATCATGTAATAGGAGTAAGAAAGCTGACTAGTCTGATACAAAAAGGGAGATGTAACAATCAACTGTGCATCTGTGATGGATAGAAATCATAGAACAGATCTCTCTCTTGCTTACTTCCTGAGATGACTCATCAAATAGAGAGTTTTTGTTTCTACGGTTTTAAGATCTATTCCATCACACAGGTCCTCAGCTCGCTTACTTGATATTATTTGTGAATCGACAGGTTTGTAAGAATCTGTCTTGATATTATCATTTCAGCAGTTATTGGTTCTTACATTCGTTTTTACCATCTGTTGCCTCAAAGAGCTCTATTGTAGAATATAGCATTGACAGTCTCATTGCGTTGGCTATTTTTTCAGTTAAATGATTGCAAGCTGCGTTGACGGATCTGAAGCAGGGACATCATTGCCGCGATGAATGTTGTTTAGAAATCTGTAGATTGCTGTTTCTTGTCCGAGAAATGTTCGAGTAGTGTAGTGGTGTTTTCTGCTCCGAATGTGCTTGCAGCGCGGTAGTACACTGTCGGGGATTCTATAGACTCGGCCGAGTTATATTTGTTTAAAGCCCAAATCTATAGCAACAACCCATAACAAAACGAAACCCAAATTCAGTTCAATTTCCTAGTCTTGTTAAAACACTCTACAAATTTTACCAACCTCTTTAATTCAGCAGAATTTTGATACATTTTCGTTCAATTTACCGCGTTGAAGTTTTGTTAAAAGTGTGACATTAAGGCCATTCATTTGATGTAATAGCTTTTCGAATACTTTTTTTGGTTAATTTTTTTTTTGATTTAATGGAAGGGCAATGTTAATTGTTAATCATTATTTAATGTATTATCTATTTAATCAATAACAGAATCCAATGAATGTCGTAATCAACCTAAGAGAGAAGTGATCTAAGTGTTAGATCAAAGGTACATTTCTCTTTATTATGTTCATTTCTAAAATGTTCCTAGCCATAGGATTGTCAACTGGACATTGGTAATCCGTTAAGGCTAATATGTGTTATGTCAACTCAATTGGGAGTATGGCTGGCCTCAAAGTCATTAGTGTTAGACACTTAGACAAACATGTAGGTGCTCCAATGGTTGTTGAGTATACTAAACAACGATCAACGAGTTTTGACATACATGTCATGTAAGAACTCATTGGTTGTAATAATGCAAAGTAGTCATTTGGCTTGAGACACCATTGATGCCTTGTGGGTACGTTTTTGATCATTTGACAGTGTAATAAAGTACATGCCTTATCTTGGCCAATGTTCCTAGCATTGTTAGGGTCATTGATTTATTCATAAAGACATGTGAGTGTACAACAAGGGATCTTTAACCTTCCATAGTGGAAGAAGAATACTTTAATATATGATTCGAAAGTCTTTGGCCAAAACATATGAATATAACTTAGGAAAAATGTTCCAAATCATATTCACTAGAATCATATAGAGAAGTATCATATTGGATGGTAGACATGAAATAAACTATCAACCAAACAATGTGATCAAGAGTATTGATTTAGAGAAGGATCGTATTGTAGTTGTAACTGAATAGGTTATCCAACCACTTTTACTTAGCTTGGGTAGCCATGACATATTGTTAGGTGTCACTCATGGTTTGTAGAAGCCCTGAAGATTAGCAACCAATAATCTTCATTACATGGAGAATTTAAAGAAGTTTCAATTTGCAAACAATTAAGAGTTACGATCGCCCTTTGCCTCACTAATTGAAACCTAGATCGTAAACCATGTAAGGATATGAAGAAATATAAATGAGATTGATAAGATCAATTAAATAGTTTAATTGAGCATAGTCAAGATTAATTAAAGTTTAATTAATCATACAAATAAGTTTGTATTGGCCTTAAATTAGTTTTGGATTCTCGAGGCACAATGGTCCATAAGGCCGACTATGCTAGAAAGGATGATCTTATTTACACTCATGCCACTTAACTTTGAGTGACTACAGAAGAGCTGTTATAAGCTAAAACTCATTATGGTTGTTTTGACAAGAAACTTGGAGGCACATTCTCTCATCTTCTTCTCTACCACAACATAGGGAGATTTATTAGTATCAACCGTTCCAATAGTTCTTCCATTTTCTCTTTGTTGTGGAGACTTAGAGGCACCATTCATTTGGTGCTTAGAGAATCGTTTCATCAAATCCTCAAGAAGCAAAGAAGTAAGGAAGAAGCAAAGACCCAGGAATTCAGGGAGCCAAACCCATAGAGCCTATGAAGACGATTGAAGGCCCTCACATGGATAATAATCTTGTGAAAACAAGGATGAGCTTTAAGGGTATGAAAGCTCAATCTTTCTTCTTTCTTTTGTGAAACATTCTTGGTTCGCCACTCACTAGGCCTTGAGTTTTGGGGGACAAAGATTTGTTTTTGAGTTCATGCTTTCTTTTGTAAATATATGCATTTGTTGCTCAGATAATCTATCCATAGTCAATGTCACAGCCTGTCCCGAAATTTCATTTATCGTGGATGTGAAATGACGGAATTGCCCTTAAAGGCTG